AAAAAAAAAAAAAAAAAACTTCCAGTACCATATCTGCCCTCCCCTCTCCAAGCCTTCTGGTCAAACTACCCACTTAAGTAAACTTATTCCTTCTGGCCTGAAAGGTCAGGGTTGGTGGAGATTTGAAGTGTCCAAGCCAAAAAGAAAAAACAATGGATTCGATAAACATAAAAAAATTGTATATGGGGCTAGGGTTGTGGCTCAGTGATAGAACACTCACCTCACATGTGTGAAACACTGCGTTTGATCCTCAGCACCACATAAATTAAATAAATAAATTAAATAAAGGTATTGTGTCCATCTACAACTAAAAAAGTTTTTTAAAAAAATTCATATACCAAAAAAATTATTCATTTCATAATTTACTTAGTTGATTATAACTATTAAAAAGCCCTGAACCTTTAGGTAATTTCTTAAAACAAATTTTAAAAGAATTCAAATGAATAAAAACATACAATCAAAAATTACTGGTTAGGGAGAAGGGGAGGTAAAGGAGAAATACTGGGAAATGATATTGGCCAAATTATACTGTCATACTGTGTGAATGTACAAATAAATACAAATCCAACCATTATGTACAACTATAATGTACCACTAAAAAAAATATGGGAAAAAATTACTGGTTAGCTACTAGGTAATATTTTTAAAGATAATTCTTACCTCCTTAGCTGATTCTGACTTGAGTTCTTCTGGGTCCAACACATCTATCCTGAGTTTCTCAAAATTTTCCCGGAACTCAGAGTATATTTGGTCATCCACTTTGGTGAGCTTCAGGAACTGGGGATCAACTGATGAAATAAGCTACCAGATAATAAAACAACATACAGAAGTTAGTCTCTGATTTACTACCTTCTCTTTACCTACTCTCCCACCAGTTATGGTTCTCAGGGCAGAAGATTTCATTAGGAAGTACTAAAACCTAGGTCTTGCAAGAAATTATGACAAAATTTTAAAGGGCATACAATCCCCTCCGCCCATTTGACAACTGGCCTGATTTTTACCTGGCTATCTCCGTCTGTGGGTTGTTCATTAATTCCAAAAATATTTATGAATTGACTATTATGTATATGCCAAATACCCTTTTGTCAGGTAGCAACAAAACAGTACACAGAGAAGTAAAACTTCTCATCATCAAAACAAATTCCTTACCAGGTGCCATGGTACATGCCTGTAATCCCAGCAGCTGGGAAGGCTAAGGCAGGAGGATCACAAGTTCAAAACCAGCCTCAGCAATGGCGAGGCTCTAAGCAACTCAGTGAGACCCTGTCTCTAAATAAAATACAAAAAAGGTCTGGGGATGTGGCTCAGGGGTTCAGTGCCCCTGACCTTAATCTCCAGTATCCAAAAAACAAACAAACAAAAATTTCTTCCACCCCTTTATCTTGGCAAGATTCTTTTTTCAGTGAAGAAATACAAATTATCTCCAAAACGTAACTGTTTAACTTGCTGAGGATATCAAGTACCATACACTATGGTTAAATATTTAATTCTGCTTAAGGATTGAAGGCAGACAACTCACCTTGTAATAGACTTCAGCATGCTGCATTGCTCTCATGGCCCAAGCCATCTCAATATCAGGCTGCAAATGAGTGAAGGATGCCAGGTCAGAAATCCCCCAATCCTGCTACTGAGTAACAAATTAAGAAAGTCTGTGGATATCTAAACAGGACTACCAAAACTGGTAAGTACTGGCAAAGAATAAAAAGTGGGCAAATGGATTTGGATGATCTAATGATTCTTTTGTCCTTATGACAACCCAAAGCAGCTACCTACACAATGTAAGAAACAATGAGCCATTGGCTATCTTTTCCCAGCAGCTAGTGAATGTGTGGGACACTACATAAAGTGGTAGATAATTCAGTTTCTCAGGACTGAGTTAAATCACTGTAAAAGTTAAATAATACATCCACCTATATATTACTGTGTTGTTGGGAGGACAAAGATAACAGATGTAAAACTATTTTTCACTGTTGAGTGTAGCGTGTCATAATCATCATTTATGTTTATCAGATAGTCAATTTCCCACCCTATAACAACTGCAGAAATGAATCAGTATCATGAAGCAGGCCAGGCTATAAATATGTCTGATCAAGCACTCATTACATCCATGTACCTTATGTTATTCCATGTCTTAGACCATGAAGTTTACCTACTTGTCAATCCATGTCTTTGGCTATTTACACTTTGAGGATCCAGTTCCAAGTTCCACTTCCTCAGTGAAGTCTTTTACTGCCTCCATTCTTGGAGGTCTTTCCTTTAGCTAAACCCTTTGGATCTTAGGGCCTGACCCACTCATCCAGAATGTATGACATTCTTATTTAGGTGTTATTACTATTCTCAGTGTCCTTTTGTCATGTTTCTCAAAATACAACATGTGCTTTCTCACAGAGCGTCCAAATCAGACACACCAGAAGCCAGTGCAACTTTGGTACACAATGGAATCAACAAGAGGCCTTTAAAATAACAAACAAACCTTGATTCTTGGCTCCCACCCCCAAGACATTCTAATTTAGTTAATATGGACTGTAATATGGACATGGAGATGTTTAAAAGCTCCCCAGGTAATTCTACAATGTGGCAAAGTTAGTGAGCCACTTTTACAGATATTAGTTCTGTGTCTGCAAACAAAGATTAGAACGAACTGAAAGAAGATGCGGTTTGGGCTCTGCGGAAGTTATCAGGGAAGGGGCTTAAAATCTACTGGTAGGACTTGCAGATATCCCAGGCTAGCTTGATGGGTGGGAGCTGTGGTTGAATCATACTCACATCATTGCCATAAGATTCTGCAGGGAGAGAAAGAGCATGTGCCACGGACACCAGCTCCCCGGAAACCTGAGAAGAAAAAAAAAAAAAAAAAAAGCAGGGTCGGGGGAGAGTTCAAGGCTCGAGTGGGCTCGACTTCTCTACTCACCCAACCCCAAAGCAGGGTCTCACCGGTTCATCGATTCCGCTGGTAGCCTCCATGTTGCAGCGCAGAAAGCGTGTTTGCAGCTTCCCGGAAGTGACTTTTTTGCCTGCTCCTTACTCAGTAGGTTGCAAAGTGGAGGAGAGGGCGGGACGAGTGTCGTTCTCCTGCGTCTGCGCTTGTGTGAGGTCTCTGTAACCCGGAGGTAGTCAGTAGCCCCGCCTCACCTGCCCAGCGCTGCTTAGGAGATGGCACGCTGTTTGCGTATTCTAGTTTACTGCAGAGCTCTGAGTTGATGAGCTGCTCACTGATTCGGTGGTGATCTTAGGAAAAGCGTGAGTTAAAATAGCGCAGCTTTCGTGTCCCCAGAGCGCTATGTGTCTAGCAGAAGTTAGAATTCATACTCTCCATTCATGGCTCGCGTACACCACACACACCCCGTAACCTAAACCGAGGAGTAAGTCACAGGCTTGGTGCTGGGGATGGAATGCAGCGATGAAGAATTTAGTCCCTGCTTTGGAAGAATTCTGTTTAGTGAAGGCACAGATAATATAATGATAACAGTGCAGCATCATTTGCTGCGGGAGCATGAATGGGGGATACCTAAACTCAGTCATAAGGGCATTTAGCCAAGTACGTAGGGAAAAACACTCCAGTCTGAGGGAGACGCAAATGCAAAGGTATTGATGAATAAAACAACGTGATATCTTGCTGGGAATTGCAAAAAAAAGTATAGCTAGAGCAAGAGTGCAGCCAGGGCCTTTGTGATGAAAGTTGGAAGTTTACTCTAAAAGCGAAGGTGAGATACTAAAAGGCCTTTGAGGCCAGCCTCATGAGCAGCCTAAAATTTTAGATCCCTCTATCGTGATGTGGAAGATTAATTTAAATAAGACAAAATTGGAGGCAGACCAGCTCGAAGATAGTAGGTGATGAAAATGAAGGCAATGACTGCTGAGATACATCTTGAAAATAAGGCTTAGAATGACTAGGCCTTTTTGACTAATTGGTTATGTAAAATAAAGGAGAATTAGAATGCTAGTTTGTCTCTCAGGTTCTAGAATAGGATGAATACCATTGAGCTAGAACACAAAGGATGAGAGATGACAAATGTAGAATGGATCATCCACATGATGCTGAATGTTAGCAATTAATTTGAGGAGTTGAGATTGAAGAGCATCATGGCACACTCAGAATTGCCAAAGCAGAAGAAGACCTGAGCAGAGATATAAATTTGATAGCTGGTGCTAGTACTTCAGATTTAGTTGAGTTTTCTCAAGGAAACTATAAAGTCACAAAGAACCGCAAGCCAAGAAGAGAACCATTTATGAAGAAAAGACAGGGGGAAAGACCAACCAAAAAAAACAAGAGTTGTCAGTGAGACATCAGCAAAGAACAAAGCATAGGATAAAAGAACTTCCAGGAAGTAGTGGTGAACATAGCCCCATACCCTGAGTACATTAATCCCAGAAATATTGAGAGAACATTGACAATCTTAGCAAGAATAGTTTTAGTGGAATGGTGAGGGCAGAAGTCAGACGGCAGTGGGTTGGAGAGGGCATGGGAAATGAAGAGATGACAGTGACCATAGAAAGTTTTTCCAAAGATTTTCAGCTAGAAAAAGACATGAGACCTAGTGATATTTTATTTTAATTGTGGTTAAGAACAGATAACATACCAATTTACCATCTTAACCATTTTTAAGTGTACAGTTCAGTAGAGCTAAATATATTTGCATTGATGTATAACAGATCTCCAGTTTTGCAAAATATCCTCTTGCAAATCTGAAACTCTGTATAATAATTATAATAATTCCTCATTTCCCCTCCCTCCAAGCCTCTGGTGATCAACATTCATTTTTGTTGTTGTTGTTGTTATTGTTGTTATGACTTTGACTGCACAGATACCGCATATAGGTGGAATCAAAAGTTTTTATCTTTTGTGACTGGCATATTTCACATAGTATAGTGTCTCTGAGGTTCATTCATGTTGCCACATGTGACAGGATTTCCTTCTATTTTAAAGCTGAATACTGGGGCTGGGGTTGTGGCTCAGTGGTAGAGCGCTTGTCACTAATGTGTGAGGTACTGGGTTCCATTCTTACCACCACATATAAATAAATAAAATAAAGGTCCATTGACAACTAAAAATATTTTTCAAAAAGTTGAATACTATTCCCCTGTATGTATCACACCTTGTTGATCCATTTATCCATCCAAAAATATTTGGGTTGCCCTTATATTTTGGCTACTGGGAATAATACTGCTATGAACATGGGTGTGCAAATAACTCTGCCTTCAATTATTTTGGATATAGACTTAGAAGGGGGATTGCTGGATCATACTCTTAAACAGATGGTTAATGGATCCTATTTTTAATTTTTGAGAATCCTCAGAGACTTTATTATTTTAAGTTTAGAGACATGCAAGTGTACTGAGGAAATGCCTGTGCATTCACACCTATTGTTTCAGATGGACTCAAAATAGCTAACTATAAAAATACAGGAGTGAGCATCCACCCAACATGGTGATTTTTAACTTTTAAAAAAATAAAGTAATTTCTTATTACTTAACTACCCAAATACGTGCAGACAATAGGAAATGGGTCCTTATTTAAAAAAAAAAAAAAAAAAAAACACTGTCCTGGAGGGTAAATTAGGTGTATCTCCAGAGAAACTGAAAGGTAGAAAATTGAAGTGTTTCCTCCGGGTGCCATCTGTTTTCTTTTTTTTATATATATAATTTTATTTTTTTATTGGTTGTTCCATCTGTTTTCTTTATAAAGCATAAAAGAACAGCTGAGAGCAAGAGGGGAAGTTCTAAAGTCTTGTCTTGAGAGGAATGTCTTTATAAATCTTGAACAACAGCTCAGAGAAGTGCAATCTAACGGAGAGATGGAGGGAAGTTATCAGGGAACAGCTGAAGCTAGAGGATATGGTTCTGTAAAGATAGCAGTTTATATGTAGCCCAGAGATCTGAATGTAGAATAGATCATCCACATGATGCTGAATGTTGGCAAATGCAGAGACTTGACCAGGAGGTCAATAAACAAGAATAACATGGAAGGGTAAACTCAAGCTAATGGCCAAACTGGTGTATAACAAATAAATATAAATATATTCAATAAACTCAGCTGGCCTTTTACTTGAGGAAACATGGGTGATTTACTTTATCTAGTGTTTTAGGCATATTTGCTGCCTTTAAATTAACAAAAAAAAATTAAAATCTGTAATATTTACATGGTTGGTTTGTTAGGGTGTGTAGGGCAGGCCCTAAATGGCTATAGTTAGATTCCCTCACCAATGCTTCTGGAGACCTATGTTTTTAGTATGTAGCCAAGGTCATAAACACTCTGATTTAGTATGTATACTCAAGGTCATAAACATTTGCTTGTGAGGAAGCACCCACTGATGTAACCTGTTGACAAGGCACCTTTTTTTGTCTGACTTGCATATTAAAAAGTCTTATGGAAATGACTCAGAGGGCAAAATAGTACTGGCTGAGGGGCTAATGGAACTGGCTGGGGGCTGAAGCTAGAGCTGGGGACTGGCTAGGGGCTGTTGCCACCTCTGAATAAAGCACATTTACTATCCCAACTGTGTCTTGCAACTTCTTCCACCTGCCAGGATCATGAATCTGTTTCCCTGGGTCTGAGCATCCATCCAACAGGGTGATTTTTAATTTAAAATATAAAGTAATTCCTTATTACTTAACTACTCAGATACTTGCAGAGAATAGGAAATGGGTCCTCCCAATATTGAGTAAGTCATCTGCTTCTAATCCCAAAACTGCAGGAGATAAAAGTTATCACCTAGAGCTTTTCTCATTGCTGGGCAAGGGAACTAGCCCAGGCAGAGTTATTAGAATAATTGTTTGTTTGCCTGTGTGTTCACACCTGTTGTTCCAAATAGATTCAAAGTAGCTAACTATAAAAATAAGGGAGTGAGATGGGATAGGGATGTAGCTCAGTAGTAGAGCACTTGCCTATTATGTACAAGGCCCTGGGTTTGATCCTCCACACCACAAATGATGATGATGATGATGATGATGATGATGATGATGATGATGATGATGATAATAATAATAATGAGAGGGGCTGGGGATGTGGCTCAAGCGGTAGCGCGCTCGCCTGGCATGCGTGCGGCCGGGGTTTGATCCTCAGCACCACATACCAACAAAGATGTTGTGTCCGCCGAGAACTAAAAAATAAATATTAAAAATTCTCTCTCTCTCTCTCTCTCTCTCTCTCTCTCTCTCTCTCTCTCTCTCTCTCTCTCTCTCTCTCCTCTCTCACTCTCTCTTTAAAAATAATAATAATAATGAGAGAGAGAGAGCGAGCTGTGCATGATGACACACCTCTATAATCCCAGCTACATCGGAGGCTGGGGTGGGATGATCATTTGAGTCCACAAGCTCAAGACCAGTCTGGGCAACATACCAAAGCCCCCATTTCTAAGTTAATTAATTAATTAAGGGATAGAGTAATGAGCCAGGAACAAAGGGCTGTATACAAAAGCAGAGAAATGGTGAACTTTAAGAACTACATCATGGAACAACCTCTTGGGGTGGAATAAGAAAACTCGACATAGAAATCTACTGAGACAATTTTCTCTTTTGGAAGGACACCAATGAGTTGTCCTTCGGTCTCATTCTCAGATAGATGGTATAGCTATGCCACAGGTAGAACCAGAAGGCATCACCAGTCCTGAGCTATCCATGCTAGGGATCCCAAGAGTATACAGAAGGTGAAAGCTATAATTACTAGGAAGTAAGGTAGAAGAAGGCAGCAAGTTTGCCAATGGCATGGCAGTTGGATGAGTGCTTCTATACTAGAATATATTCTACTACATAGTAGTATAAGTGTTACTATGAAAGGTGACATTCATGATATGTACAGAGGATAACTCATGTCACCTTATAAGGCTGTTTAATGTGAATTAGGATGTTAGGGAGGGAATTTTCATAGGGTACATCCCATAATTAGGAAGGAGTGAAGCAGTGACCTCGGGATGACTTTCCAGATTGTGTCTTATCACACACACCTGTTAATAATGTAGCCTCATAATACAGGGAAAAAATTGAAAAAATGTATAAGTGGAAATAAATGTATTAAAGGAGGGAGATGTCTTACATGTCTCTCACCAATTAATAGATTGAATAGTCAATAAACTAGAATTTGCAAATTTTAATAACATGATGAACAAACTTAATTGAATGGCTATATCCTGAACCCTGAACCCAACAATTATATAATAGACATTATTTTCAAGCATCCGTGAACACTTACAATAATTACATTATAATATGTGATAAAGTACATCCCAGAAAGTAATAAAAA